AAAAAAAAAAATTAACGGTCGGGGGTTTGGCTCAGTGGCCCAGGCTGCCCTCAACCTCACAGTGATCCTCCTGCCTTGGTCTCCCAAGGATTTAACTCAACGGTTTGGTGGCCTGCCTTGCAAGCGCAAGGACCCAAATTCAATCCTCTTACCAAAAATAAAAAATAATAATAAAATAAAATTTAGATTTAATTGGGTTTAGTTTTTATGAAAATAAGAAAGCAACATTTTTTTTCCATCAATGATTTGTTTAAACTATTAGGCACTCAAATTCAGTATGATTAGGTTGAAAGAAATGAACATTTTTAGTTGATTATGAATTAAACATGACCATGGCATATAATTTTAATTTTGTTCAACGTCCTACTTCTGTATACCACGAGGTACTTTCATGTTGTCGCTAGTTTTGTATTTTTTTCATATATTATGCAGTGAATTTTGATGCTTTAACCCAATAATATTCATTTCATTCTAAATGAAGGGAAAATATCCTAAAGTAAAGTACCATAGAACATTTGGTTTATATTAAGAAAGAAAATGGTCCTCAGTGGGAACTCTAGTGTCTTTCACGGATACCTTAATAAAAAGTGAGATAATGTTATATGACCAATTAGCTCCCTGGTGAGACTTTTAAGATGCCTAAGTTTAGCAAAGTCTTAATTAGTGGGAGGAGTTTGTGCGTGTGTGTGTGTACATATAAGTGTGGTGTGTGTGTTTCAAAAAGTTTGAACAGATGCCTGCCTAGGTTAATAACCATCGACTTCGTGTAGTTTGTGGCTACTAATAATACTAGATTTCTTTTCACTGAGGTTTTGAACTTTCAAATCTTGAGGCCCTACACGACTACATATGTCTATTTACAAGTCTTGTTTTCAATATTTGTTCTCAAACAACATTATAATTCAATGTATTGAAAGGCATCAGACTGAGGTAATTTGGTATATAGGAAAAATAATTGGGTGGAGAATTAAGAGACTCAAGATGAAGTCTACCAGTAACTATCCAATCAATTAATCCCTCTAGACTTCAAGTCCACAATAGGAGAGGGTAGAATATATTTGTCAAAGTCTAATTTAGTCAGTTGCTCAAAGTGAATTGGGCAGTGGGAATTGAAAACAATGCCGAATCGGCAACCATGAAGTAAAGAGGAAATGCTGAGTCCAGCTAGAGTTATTGCTAGGTAAAAAGAAGCAAGAGAATGTTCTAATGAAACCTCAGAAAGTTGTTACGGTATAGAGTGTCCATAAGTAACAAAACTAGTGTGTTGCCAGTATGTACAAAAGTATAAAACATTTGATTTCCCAGCATTTTTCATATTTAAGTTCATAAATGACAGCAAACAGATTTAGCACTTTAGAAGTCACAGAGAAAACTAAAGGTGCATTTATCATCCAATAGATGTGTGCACTATATGCACTGTTTTTATTTATGTAAGGTTGGGTGACTAGAAGTCCAGTTTTCAAAGTTTTTAATTAACTGGGCAGTCACTTATTTCTGTATAACGTGTCATCTTTACATAGGAATAAACAGGAGAAAATACGAGAGAGCGACACATTCTACACTGTGGAATACCATCCTAACAGGGGGCTAAGATTGTTCAACTGCTACACAACTGTGCCTAGTACAGAGAAATGCATGAGATTAAAAATGTGTTTCAAAAATAATCCTTTAAAAATCATTTCTTATTACCTGACGTATCTTCATATAAATGCAGGTTTGCATTACCATTTAGATCAAAAGATAAATAGCACTTATAAACAAGTTTACACTATCTTTCTTTCTCTCTGTCTGTCTTTCTCTCTGTCTGTCTTTCTCTCTGTCCGTCTTTCTGTCTGTCCATCTGTCTATGTGTCTGTCCGTGTTTCGGTCCGTCTGTCTTTTTGTCTGTCTGTCTGTCTTTCTGTCTGCCTTCTGTCTTTCTGTCTGTCTTTGTGTCTGTCTGTGTGTCTTTCTGTCTGTCTGTCTGTCTACCTGTCTGCCTGTCTTTCTGTCTGTCTGTCTTTCTGTCTGTCTGTCTGTCTGTCTTTCTTTCTGTCTGTCTGTCTTTCTGTCCGCCTTCTGTCTTTCTGTCTGTCTGTCTGTCTTTCTATTGTACTGGGGACTGAACTTGGGAGCTTGCACTAATTTTCGTAGTCTTTTAATTTTAAATAATGAAGGCAGTAAAGAATCAGTAGTCACTATATAGTTTTGGTGATGGCTGCATACATTAAGAGACCAAAAACTTATAATCTGCTTACATGTAAACCAAAATGCTGAGCACTCTGAAGATGGAGTTTTACTTCAAATATTTAAACCAATAATGAAAATTGAAGTCTTTCTCTGCAATAATGTCTAAGGTATTCTAATACTGTTATTCAAATCAAAGCAACAGATGCTTTGTAAAGTGAAATTTACTACCAGAGGCAAAGCATAAAACAACTGCTAAAATGTGAGAAAACATTTCACAAATTAGTTAACACTAGACTTCCAGGTCTGCTCTGAAATCGAGATTGCAGTCTCCTGCTGGAATAATGGCTTTGCCTTTGCCTTGGATGTTGGCTCTGGCCTCCATATGTGGTTGTCTCTCTCATGCCTGCAGCTGGTGTTCTCCGCTGGCGGCGATAGTGGGAACGTGAGGGACAATCTTAGAGTGCCGTCTACATCCATGGTTCTTTTTTTTTTTTTCTTTTTTTTTTTAGTACCAGGAATCAAACTCAGGACTTTGCTCTTGTGAAGCAAGCTAAATCCACTGAGCCAAATCCCTGGCACTGTGGTACTCTTTAGTGAAGCGATCTTGTGGGCTGTGCATAGTGTCACTGTGCCCACACTTCTTGAAAATACACTGCAGGATGTTGGAAGAGTTATGCTAGGTTAGGTTGTCTATTTTGAGGGCCATCATGCCTTCCACAGTGAGAGAAGTTCATTTTTATTTTAAATGATTTTAGTATTTGTAATTGCACCTATTTGATGTCATTATTTCTTCATTTTTTTCCTCTACACCGTAAGCTTTTGAAAGGTAGTAGAAATTATATTTTATTTCAGAATGTAGGGCCTGGGATTTAGCTCTGGTGCCGCAGCCTGCCTCACAAGCACAAAGACCCAAGTTCGATCCCTGGTACCAAAAACGAAAAACAAACAAACAAAACAAACAAACAAACAAACAAAAAACACCAAAAAGAATGTATGTAGCTTTTCTGCATGGAAACAGTCGCATTTTAAACTTGCATTAAAAATTCTGTTGAATGCATTAGGGAAGGAATAAAACAGACGATTGTCTGTATTTTTTGCTTTGGCTTGAAGCTGTTTAAGTTACACTGGTTTAGAACCTGTGGACCTTTGTAGTACTTTACCAGAGATCACTGCATT